GAAAATATCCCCATTTTACATACCTCAGGAAGTATGCTGACGTAGGGCTATTTTCTGTTCCTTCCGCAAGAATAAACATTGGACCATTGTGAAGACAATTGCGATAGACGAGCTCAAGGACGATGCGGGTGATAAGAGTTTCTCTTCCTACGATCAATTTCTGGTAACTCCTGCATGGCATCAGAGTGTATCTTTGGTTCTTGAAGAATACACCAGACTGTATCAGAGATACAATGGCTTTCGAGCCCCCTGCGTGGCATGTGGTTTTTTGTCATGCACGTTTTAACATTTCCTTGCGTTGGCATGCCAAGCATTACATGTTCCGGTAGCGTGGGTTCAAACCAGCAGAGCTTTCTGTTCACCCACCCACCACACCCTGATGCATCGCAGTTGCATTGGCACGCATTTCTTAGCACTCCAATGCACGCATTGCATAGTCCCGCAGGGCGTTACCAACGCATAGCATTAGACCAGGCTCACACACGTTTCACAAGAGGGGGCTACATGCTTGCCTCTACCGACGCAATCATATTCCCATGCATCTCGTGCCAAAATAGTCTGTGTGTGTGCTGTAGCTGTAGCTTCTGGTTTGCCACGCGTAGGAACATGCTTTGAACAAAGCCTCCCCTGGAGAAGAGCTCCGCTACCACGTTGAGATTGGCCAGAGCGTGAACTGCTTCACAACAGTGTACAGTAGACAGGCGAGCGACAGGCTATTCGAGTTTTAAATCCCAAGAACTTTGAGTGGTAGCGGCAACAGCAACAATGCAGTTGTGTCACATGAACTGTACATGGGCTGATAGCAATCAGCGGGATTGTACCTTATTTCCACCCCCCCCACCAGAATAAGGAAGCGGGGGTGCCAGATTAAAAAAATGACTTGGGCTTTTGGAGCTTATTAAAGATTGAATAGGAATGTATTGAATTTCTATTAATTAAGGATGGGTTCTCCAGAAAATTCCTTTAAATGTCCAATCCCTTTTTCCCCCCAAAAAGGCACCTAATTGTAGCTAGTTTTTGGAGACTAATTCTATCCCAACAGTCCGTGTAATTAATCTAGTGCTCGAATTAATGAATGAACAAATGAATGAACGAATGCATCACGGCAGGTGATGGACAAACAATCTATTTCCTGGTGCAAAAGTTGCACCCGGAATCATTGCATGTGGTTATTTACCGTGCGTAGCGGAGGCTCATACTGAGAGGCACAGCGTACTTGGCATCAGGGAAGCAGCCGAATTCAGCGTTTTGCACAGGAATGCAATTCCATTCATCATCACCGAAGCGGTTTTTTGGAACCTTTGTCAAGTTTTGTGAGTTTTTTTTGCAAATGCCAGCGTTGCATGTGTGTTTTTTGTCTTGCATGTTTAGCTTTATGTTTCACCTAATTTCATGGGTTCAACTAGTACCCCCCTCTACACTACCCCTCCCTAGGTTCCCCCTTAATTAACCTTAATTAAGCCTAATTATCACAAAAAAACCTCAATAAAGGGGGAACCTAGGGGGGGTAATATAGAGGGGGGTTCTAGTTGAACCCATAATAATTTGCTCAAACGTTGGTTCGCCTTCCGTAGCTTGGCCCCAGCATCCAGAGGAGGATTTTTGGGGTACAATTTACGATGCCCCTCCATGTGCATCGCATTCCTAGCACCGCGAGAAAAAAGAGTGCTTGCGTTTCTTTAATTGCGGTGTGTTTTGGCCTCGCGTAGGAAGGACAAACTTGAACCACAAAATGTCCATCATTTAAAATTTTGTCACAGTCTTTTTTACAAACATCCAAAAACAGTTTTTGACATTTTTCCGTGGCAGTCGGCTTGCTTGAGTTTTCGACAAAGACGCCTTAGTTTTTGAAATGCCCAGCGTCAATAACTTGTAAAGTGTAGAACGATTGGAAGCTTTTGAGGCCATTTTTGTAAGCATTCCGAATTTTTTTTTGACAGATTCCAAGTTGAAACGTTTTTTTGTAAACATTCACGCGTTTTTTCAACAATTTTTCGAGGCTGTTGATTTTTTTGAGCCCTTGTAAATCCCTTGATTTGTTTGTGCGGATGCCGGCCGATTGGAAGTGGGCAACATTTGTCAAGACTGCTACTTTGCGCCAACTCTTATGCTTGACCATTGGGATCACGTTGGAGTTGGTGGTAGGGATGTGCAAGATTCAAGCTTTGGATGGCCAGTTGAGCATTTCGCCACAGGGCAGCAAATCAAACGGACGTTCTTCATGGCATCATTTCCAATGCATTTCTGTGGCTCATGAATGTTTGAGAAATTGAACCGTCATGAATGAATATCGGTTCAAGCGTATGCATCCAAGAAGGCTTGCTTCATTTTGCTGGAGCGAAATCAGATTCTCGGCAATTGAGGGTCAGTTCATTCAATCACATGTTTCGATTTTTTCATGCAGATGTTTTGCGTAGTTGTCGATTCTCGTTTTTGCATAAGCCCCCAACCTGTCATCAGATCGCAGTTTGGCTGGCTGAGGCCGCCCGCTTGGCTCACAAACATCATGGGTGCAACTGAAAGTTCTGCGCCGCCAGATCATGTGCATAGGCTGAAATTTGTTCGTGGTGGGGGTAGTGCTTCTGCAATAGTTGTGTGGTTTGCCAATGTTTTTCAATGTCAATGCTGCGGTTGCTCATTCGATTTCATATGTTGCGCCGCATGCCATGTGTGATTTAAGGCCGCGGTTGACAGGATTGTGCGAATGGCCACAAAGGATGCCATGGAGGCGGGGTGTGTGTGTAGTGCTTTTGAAGTAGGCGTCGGTCCTGCATATCATTATTGAGCACAACCAATCTTGTTAGTGACAACGTGCCCTTGCCAGAAATCAACGACCAACCAGTTGTGGGAGAAGTGGGAGAAGGATGCGGAGGCCAAAGGCGAGACATTGCCAGACTCTGTTGCGTGGTCGAACAGTTATTTATCCCCACGCACTTCGCAGAGTCGATGTGTGAACCATTTCTTTTAACGATATTTTTTCACCGCGGCTTGCAATAGAACACGTTTTCTCGCACGCTCCAATTGAAAAGCTGATTCCAGGTTCCCCTGTGGTGGCCATGGACACGCTTTTGGTATGGGCGCTCGCGGCCTCCACGTTGGGTCGAGCCATTTGTCAGCCTTGCTTTGCTATATATGAATATTTTGTGTTTTATGCAAGTATCGAAGAATAATTTGCAGCGGTATGCAGCAGAGTTCAGGTAAGTGCGTTGTGTGAGCAAGATAGACCATTTGATTAATCATGTGTTGTTATGCAGAATGTTGCCCAGGGGGGCCACAATCGTCCATGAGGATGAATCAGGCTGTCCATGTGATTTAGCATGTCATGCCTTCAGAGTGCGTTCTTCCGATCTCCCAAGATCCAAGTTTGGAGCAGCATGTGTAGGCCAGCTATGGGAAACCCACGTAGATGTCCGGCTCCACGAAGGCCGCAAAAGCTACTTGGATTGAAAAGCTGAACAACTCATGTGCTTGCACATGTTGGCAGAAGAGGAACAGCGGAAAGCACCGGCAAAATGGCCAAACATGAGCTAAGGCAAGGTAAGGCAGCAGCAATGTAAGGGAGCATGTCCAATTTCGGAATGTACGTCTCCTTGTTATTCTCTTCGTGTAGATTCAGTGTAGATTCGGCGGTCTTCAATCTCCTGCTCAGACGCCCGCGGGCCGAAGTTTAGGCCCCATTTGGTACTTCTGTGCTGGTGCATGTGCCGTTGTGGTTTGAGCCAGCTGCAGGTTTTGTGCACAATTGGACACGAAAGAAGGTGAGAACTGTTTGCTGATGAACAGCAGGGTTCTGTATGCCAAAGGCAGCAGGACAGGCACAAGCGAGGCACAAGCGGCTTTGCAGCTAAAACCAAGTTTTTGTGTCAATCTTTCAGGGTACTTGCTGCAAGTGCTGCAAAGCTTCAGTGCTTTGCACGGTTTAGTTTTCCCTTCCCGCCGTGACAGCTCCAAGCCAAGAAAATGCGCCCCCAACGAAAGATTGTGTTCAGCGCTTGCCTGGGAGCTTCAGCATGAAGCTTTTGCGGCTGAGGGTGACCAACTTTCAGTGGTAACGGTCAGAGGCCATCAACCACCACACCAAAGAGTAAACTTGTGAACTGCGGGGGAAGGCCTTGGCTCTGTGGCAGCTGAAGCTGCCGAGGAGTACAGAGCGATGCTGTATATAGCTTCATTGCCATCATGTCGTAGTGTAATTATTTTGCCAACTACTCCATATATTTGGTATGTATCCATTATCTTAATCTGCCGATGGCGCAAGTTTTGTTGCTTCGATTCTCACAGGCTTGCCAGAGTTCGCCTGGTCGCATTGTCAGAATGACAGCGGCCGCTTTGTTCATAAGGCCCTTAGGGCTGGGCTGCATGACTGAAGCTGTTGGAGGCGCTCTGCCAGGTGCAGACTGTCTTTGGAGGTTTTTCTTGTGAGGGCTTCGTGGTCGTGATATTTGAGAACCTCCAAGAAAGTCTTATAGTCAGCGCGCTTCCAAAGAACCCTGATGTTGTCAGGCGTGCAGCTTTTAAGTCGTAGATGCAGTTGTTTCCTTCGTGCAAAAAGATGAAGTGTCAAAAAAGGTTTGAGACCCGTGCGCGGGAGAGGCATTTTGCCGGCAAGCAGGTGCAGGATTTGAACAGGTAAACGTTTGCCCTTTTCGTTTGCACTTGCGCGCAGTCTTCACACAATATCAGAACTGCTCACCGCAGCATTATCCAAACCACTTACTGCTGTTCAGGCCCTTTTGCCTGTGCTTTTCCAACAGATGGGCAGCTTAGTCTCGAAACAGCCTGCGTCTTGGCTTGTTTGGTGTTGGGGCGTGTGCAGTTCGCAGAAGAGGCGCCCTCCATGTGATAACCAAGTTGTTAAGGGCGCACCAAAACCGGTCTAAGTATCACTGGGCACGCCATTGCCTCCCAGTAAGATGACGCATATAAGAATGCTTACGGCAGCCTACATGTCTTGATGAAGCGTGTTGACTGACTTATAGCAGCAGACACTGCAAGCGAAGGAGTATGACAGTGTTGACGCCGATGTTGCGCACCAGCTTGGGACCTTCGTGACCAAGTCCTTCAAGGACAACGTCAGCGGCACTGCCCGCACACACGATCTTTCAAGTCATTGGCACCCTTGTCGCCGCAGGATTCGCAAGAGAGGGCTTCTTGTCTGTCGTGCAGCACAAGACCCAAGAGCTACATCAAGAGCCCTTGCATCACAAGTATCAGCTGCCTCAGTGAAGAGTTGAAATTACATGTTGGACCGGGTTGCCATGACACGAAGATCTGCAGGAGCCTGACAGTGTATGAGCGAGACCCCAATGACCGCAGATATCGGATGACAGTGGATTTGGATCACGATCGAGACACGAGCAATTGTGCTGCATCGCAGTTGTTTTGATTGCAGCTACCCTTGGTTGCATGGTTTGTCTGCTGGCTTAGCTGCGACTACTGGTATGTTGCATGCAGTAAGTCTGATCTCAACTTTGTGAATCAACAAAACAACACCTCACTCAATCTCCGTCTCTTCCTCCTTACCGAGCTTGAGCATCGGCATCTTGGGTACTGATCACGAAGGACCAATTGGTGAATCATGTTTTGCAAAGTGATGACGTGTACCTTCCAACTCAGCTGCTAAGTCATCATGGATTTGTCAACACAAGCAGTATCGGGAAGACGGTCCATGTGCAGGATTGCGTGAATGCCTTTGCCGGAGCCCAGGCTACACGCATGTTTGGTACAACAAGGAAAAACAATGGTGTGGCTGTGTTTGGTGCTGAAAGCCGTGCGCTTAGTTGACTCACGCATATTTGGTTGTTGAGTCAACGGCAATTTCTTTCATAGAGTCAAAGACAATGGTATTAGAATAGCCTTGCAAGGCTTGCATCAGGTGACTCATAAGCATTCAAGACCGTGGTAGACAAGGTGTTGTTGCCATGGCAGCTGCATGGCTTCTAAGGCACTCCTTGCCGTCGGCTCTTCAAGCTTTTCCGAAGAGGCGTAGCGTTTTCATGGGTCCTCGCATCTTAGATGATGAGGCCAATGTTGCAGACTTCCGTGAACCTGACGTTGTCAGTGTGGGGAACTCTGCTATTAGGCAGACGATGGCTGTATCCTTGGCAAAGCCAGTCTTTTGCAGTCAGATAGTTTCGTCATAGTCGACAGGTCGGTTGTTCAGATCTGAAACGGAGCAGTCTGTTACAGTGACAACCTTTTTGCGACTATACCATTGCTCGTGAGTGCCCAGATGCACCCGCGCCTTTGTCTGGTCAGCTCAAACGTTGCTGGCCCGTTCGTGGCACTACAGGGAAGCTCCGCCCCAGTTTGTAATGCTGCAGTCCACCACATTTGCCCACGGTATGCATTGTCCATCAGATCGTCCATGCATCTGCCTGTCTCTGCCTGTCTTGGGTTTCGGCAGCCCTTCTGGCTCGAGCCACCACGGCCTTTCAAACACGGCTGATGCTTAGTCATACACGGCAGAATAAGCTTCAAAATGGAACTCAGAGTACGTGTGTTTTCGTGATGGATGCGACGATAACCGAGTCCTGCAGGCTTCGATGGGCGAAGGCCCGGGCATTGTCTTCCTCGCTCGTGGTGGAAGTTGAAGAAACGTTCAGTTGCTGTTCCTGCCAAAAGGCTCGTGGACAGCCGGTGCAAGATACGGCAAGGCAGCGTTTTTTAGAAAAGGTTTGGCGCCTTCTGAGCCGTCAGTCGAGTGTCAGAATCACAAGGCACAGCCTAGCAGTCCAGCTCAACGGCTCAATCTTGGAGCTTGCAGACGTCGCGCTCTGGGAAGAGGACATTTTTTTTTGAGCTTCTGTAGGGAAGTCTGTTGTGGTGTCTTGTTCTTCCTTTTGTTCGCAGGGCTCGGCAGCGGCCCACGATGAAGTTCCTTTGGAGCCACCCAGCTTTCACCATGTTTCGAATGGACCCTTGTGCTTGGCTTTGCAAACCTCTGCAATCTGCATCACTTTGCCCTACACAGGTTGGCAGGTGCAAGCCATTGTAGGCAGTTGCGGGGGTTGAGGGCTAAGGGTACACCTAGGTCTGAGCATTCTTCAAATATTTCAAAAATAATGGAATATGTTAAAAATATTGAAATATTCCACAAAATGACAAGATATTTCAGAATATGAAAAATGTAGACTGTAACTTTTTTACAGTCTTTCATATTTTTTGAATTTTTTGTTATTTTGATATTACATTGATAATAATAATGATAAATCTTCTAATGTTTCAATATTACATGTTGAATACCAATATTATCACCAATAATACTACCATTATCTAAATCAGATCTTCTTGCTTCAAATGTCTTTGCATCACCTGCTGGTCTGCTGCTGCTTTTGTGATTGGCTTGCACGCACGGTGCGCAGTGCATGCTGCGCTGAGGTTTCTTTTCACCGGCGCACCTGACGGCATCAATGAAAGTCAAATTTCATCTGCGCTGACACAGAAGTTAGCGGACAGGCTGCAGGAGCATTGGCACATAGGTTATTCTTAAAGAGGCACGTCGGTGAGCTTGTGAAAAGCTTTCGTTCACATAGCAAATTTCAAACAGCAGTGAAGATCAGCAACTTTGAAAGGAGGAGCAAAGGGTGGAGTTTCGATCGCAGCTCAAGAAGCGTGTTGTGCTCAGTGGTTGGCGCCGTGGCGATGTTGGGATGATCTGAGTCTGAGAATGATGTGGTCAATGTGGTGGTATGTTGTTGTAGCTGGCAGTGTTTTGGCGGTGCATTTCAGGTCAGGAATCTTCTTTGCGGCGCCGCAAAGCAGGGCCTGATGAGGGCGGTGATGAAGCTGAGGAGACAAAGCCTGAACAAGCGGGAAGGGGTTTTCGCCGTCAAATCCTTGAACGATATTGAAAGACGAGGAGACGTGGCGCAGATACTTGCACAAGCCAGCACCAGAAGTGAAGTTAAAGGTGCATAGTGCATCCTGGTTGCAGCAAGCACCATGAGTAATACACGTGGTCGTGCGGCTTGGACCCGAGCTTTCGTTCTGAACAAGACTCACGCCTTCGTTTGACAGTCCCACGAACGGGGAGTCTGTATGTTGCTGTGTTGGACACCATGTAGCTGCTCGCAATCTTTCGATCTTAAGCCCCGTCGGTTCCGGCTGGACCATGCTTTCTAGATCAGTGTGCGTGTAAACACCTTGCCTTCAGGTGTTTGATGCTGGTACCCGGGTCCGGAAAGTTTTGGGCTGCCGTGTGCTGGTGTCTCCGGAGGCAAGCACAGCACGCTGCAAGCGGCAAGTGTTTTGCAAGTTCTGGCAGAGATGTCCATTCAGGCGGCTCTAGAACTCGGGAAGATTTGCTTCCGTTCCATCTTTGAGAGCGAGGAAGAGGACATGTGTCAGCTTTTTTTTTGTTCTGCAGGTCAAGCTCACTCAGAATTACTGCTGCGTCAATGGGACATTGCATAAGTTGTCCAGGAGAGGGAAAGACTACGGCAACTGCATTGGTATGAGGACCTGGATGGTACTTCCTAACAGCTTCAATGCTTCAACCAGTTGGTCAGATGCCATCTTGCGAGGATCCATTCCTTGTATGCTTTTACACTTGTTCCTGCGCTGAGACCTTACTGAAACTTGCATATGGTGCATTTTCTCCATTCTTGCTCTGGTCAAGGTGCTTGTCGTGGTGATGCTGCTCTGGGCCTGCATGTTGCTCCCGGCCATCCTTAGACAAGTGTAGCTTTGCACGCTGCCAGATTAACAAGTCTTTAAACTCTGGTTGCGTGCAGCTCAAAGTTTGCAATGATTGACCCAGTTTGGCTCAACACGTGCCAAAGATGGGTTTTAAACAAGTTTTCAGGCAGCCAAAGATGCCCTCAAAAAAGGAGCGGTTACAGGCGAACTGTCGAAGCAATCGAGGTCTTGAGGCAGCATGAGCTTGTGAGGCACGCCCAGATGACTTTGATGGCCCACAGATAGGCTTGACAATTACAGCCTTCCATTCAACAAGAGTGCGAGTTGTTCACTTGTTGGATAAAATGGTTTTGAGTTTTCCTTCTGGTTCCTCCGCCTACGTGTTTTTGCAGCATTTCAGATGCAACGAAAGAGTTAAACAGCTTGTAACGGCTTGTCACATTCATTCTGCTCCACCGCGTAAGATCGGCAATTTGTCGTGTCATCTTGCGGCCATGATGTAGACCATGTTTGTATTGATGAGCCATTGCTAGTGCATACATGTGCGAATCCTTCCGCGGAAGTTTGCCGCAGGCCAGGACTCGTCCGCACGGTTGCACCGGGCATTTGTCTCTTCTTGCAGGCTGGGGTGGTTCAGAATGCTCTTGGCGACTGGGAGTACCGGTGTCTCTTGTCGAGTGTGGTTGCCCGATTCCGTGCCTGGGCTTTTTTTGGTCAGAGAGGAAGATATGCGCAGTATTGAATTGTCCAGCACGTGACTCGAGCAAGGTGTTGCCTGCTGGGGAGAAGCTAAAGGAAGCGTTGGAAGGTGTCGGCGGAGCCAACGTCGAACATCTTCGGAGGAGCTGTGCTTTCCAAGCAGGGTGCATAGCCCACTTATGGTGGTTTTTGATGCATGAACTCGTTGTGAGGAAACATGTCGGGGCCAAGTTCAATGTCAAAGGCCAACCATCCATGGAGCCTGCTCCATGGCGGCGCTTGCACATGGTTGTCACCTGACCGCGGCCCAGAGACTTGTTGATTGTAATTTTTAAAGGCTGGGAGAATCATTTGTATGAATAGGCCCCAGCACGCACATGCTGGCCAAGGCATGTGGATGCTGCGTGCATTCGTTGTGTCACGAATCAGAAGCTCTCTCCACTGTAGGCTGAGGCGGATGTTGTGGATCTGTGCGAGACGGCCTGTGATGTTGCCGCAGACGTCCTTGGACTAACAGATGACCAGGTCAATGCCGTTGTTGGTTTTGTAGAGACCTCGTTTGGACACGAGGCTAGGCATCTGCGCAGCAGGTGCAGCAGGCGTTTGACAACATACGTGTGGAACGGCAGGAACCGTCCAGGACACTTAAAACATCGTGGCAGAACCAAACAGTAGATCTGATCAACTGCCGTAGGACGGATGGCGCAAGCTTTGGCTTCCGTCCTTCGGCACCCTTGGTGCAAAACAATCCTCTTTGGCCCCTGGATCCCAAACCCAAGGCTTGCCTGCCGATTCATGTGCTCTGCTGTGCACGGAAAAGCTTTTGACCTGAGAGGCCTCACCTGGCACGTGGGCTCAAGACTTCGAAATCCCGAATCCCAACCTGCCCACCATGCTGCCGCCGCAGGCCAAGTGTGGTCCTGCCAGTACCTTTGAGTAGATGAACTAGCAAGCAAGATCATCTGAGGTGTATCATGAAAGCTGGTGTAGTCAATGAGACAGCATGAACCGCGTCGTGCTATGTATTGGTGGCGGCATTTTTCCCGGATTATTCTCCGTTCTTTTCTTTTTTGTATCTTTTCCGGTTCCTCTTGCTTTAGCTAAGCAAAAACGCAGAGTCATGATAGCAAGAAGTCAGCAAGCCAGCAAGCAAGGTAGCCACACGCAAGCAAGCGAGCAAGCAAGCAAGCAAACAAAAAAACAACAAGAGCGCAACCAAGCAAGCAATCAAGCAAGCAAGCAAGCTAACAAGCAAACAAGCAAACAGCCAAGCATGCAAGCAAACAAGCAAGCTCGCATTACGAGAGAAAGAGCAACATTTTCATGATTCTCATCATCTCTCACGATTTTTCATGAGGTTTCATTAATTTTTTGATCTCCTCATTTGCATGACTTCTCTTTTTAAAGGTTTTACATGATTTTGTAAAACAACGTTGCATGATTTTAATGTTTTGTCATTTGTTTCGATCATTTTTCATGATTTTGCACCAAATTTCATAATTGTTCATCATGTTTTATCAAGATTCTTCATGTGTTTTCATTACTTTCAGTGATTTTTCACAATTTCCATGATTTTTCGCATCTTTTTAAAAGATTTTCATGCTTTCCACCATTTCCATGAGTTTTCATGATTTTTTTAAATCAGATTTCATGATTGTTAATCACAAGTTCTTCATGATTTTTCAGTGTTTTCATGCTTTTTCATCATTTGCATAATTTCCCATGAATTTTCATGATTTTCAGCATCTCTCAAGTGATCTTCCTGATTTTCTTCATGGTTTCTCACCGTTTTCAATGATTTTTTGTGACTTTCAGAATTTTTCATGATTTTCATAATAGTTCTCCACTTTTCGTGCGTTTCATGCATTTTCCTGATTTTTTTTACTTTTCACTACTACTAATACTATTCTGTTTAGTAGCAGGAAGAGTCACAGCACGTTGCTGGCACATGCGGCTGCCAGCGGCAGTCTCCCCGACTCCCGGCTCCACGAGCAAGTTCTCCCAGCTGCTGTCCATCACTGCAGCTTTGATCTGACCACCATCAACAGCAACGACATTTTGAAGGAGCGGCAGAATTACCCTGTCTTATGCGCTACCTGCGGCTCACCCGAGTGGACGGAAAAGGAAACCTCAAGGCTGGCAGCCGGCTCATCAAAGTAGCGGATCATTTGGTCCTAATGCCATGGGATCCGGAAGGCCAGACGCCACCATTCGCCACGCCAAGACGACAAGAACATGCTCCTGGTGAGCATTGCACTTGTCTAGGAAAAGGGGTGCATGGCCTTATGAATTGTTCTTATGATTTTTCGTTAGGACAAGGTCCGAAGTGGAGAGGGCTGCCGCGTGCATGGCAGCTCTGCCCGCACGCGCGCTTCCGTGGTGGGGAACAGAATGCCAAACATCGACGGTATCCCGGAGATACCCGTGCTCCCGAATGTGGGAAGTAAGACAAGATATATGTGAATGTAACATGCTAGTGCTCTTCGTTGGAAGGTTGGGTGGGAAACTGCATTCACCCAAAACGTCGAGGCTTTGGGGCCGTTGGCCTAGCACCAGAGCAGTAGAATTTTTGAAGAGCTAGGGCATGTCGTCTGCGCTGGCACGTTCTGTCACATCACCTCAACCGCTTGAGCTCTCTACACTGGCAGCTGCTGGAGTGGCCAT